TTAACCCTAGAAAGATAACCATATGACAACGTACGTAAAAGATAACCATACGCTTCAGAGGCGCATGCTTTTCTAAGGCGTCAATTTTATACTAACAATGGATATTTATTTAAGTTAATCTAGTCATTTTAAAGGTTTGGCATTATTGTAAAAATAAAATGCATTTATATTATATTTTTTTATATTTTAAGTAATTTTAAACTTAAATCACTAGACCTCTATGAAAAATTAACAAAAATCAACAGTCTTCGCAGGCGCCTCTGCGATGTAGGTTATCTTTCTCGGGTTAATTCGGCGTTCCCACTAATTTTTCGATTGCATAACAATGCGTAATAATGAATATCCTTGTACCTTTTTATAACATTAGCGACAAATCCATTATTTGAATTGAAAATGTTTTCATTAAAATTAATTTTGCCAACATTCTGTTAAAGAATGTAAAAGAATTAAATTTAGGTATTTAATATCCCACCATATATTCACTTTGTTTCTTGGAAATTATGAAACGGTATTTTAAACGGTATTTACGGTATTTTTCACTGCTCTTTATTTTATTTACTAATTTATGTCATAAATGCGTAAAATTCTATATTTAAGAAATACAAGCTGTCCTAAAAATTCCAGTAAAATTCGATTCACTTCTACATAGTGACAACTTACCGCGATGATTTCGTTGGACATCCTCTCTCGAAATCGAACGATCTAACAATTTATTACAGGACAAATAAACGACGCAGAATTCAAGTCCTTTCGTAATATAATATTCAGACACGATGCGATACCGCGGACGAATTTCCCAGCACTGGATGAGACAGCAGCGAACGTGTTAAGTTAATGAAGTTGCAACAAGAAAAGGTTCCGCCGAAAGAAACGAGGCGATTTTCGTGGCAATCACCTAATCGACGTGTGGATAGAGCGCGAAAACCGGCCTGCTAGCTCATGCTTCGTAATCATCGCGATGATTAGTCTTCCTTTATTCACGGGCCACGAAAACGAATCCTTTAGGAACTGCCGTCGAGCTCGCCGGGCCGACACGGGCCGCCGCCTGTATACCCATTTACTTCCAAGTCACCCGGGAATTATGCTTCTACTTCTCTTCGCGTAATTCCTCCCTACCATTAAGCCGTTTCAATTATTTACAAGCAGTTTAGATTAATAATAGGATCGTACCTATCGCTGATATCGATACCTCTCGACACATATGCTGCGGCTCTATCAATTTCCTATCGGAGGGTGAACGGCGGTGACGGGAAAATACTGTCAGCGAAGTGAACTGGCCGTCGAACAAGCTGTCGCGAAGCTTGGTCAGGTTTTCTTGGTCACATTCGCCACATCGATAGAAGATGGAATAAGACGACGGAGATTTGTATTCTGTTCGGTGTCCCTCGATTTCGTCGAACAAAGTTTTACGGTTTCGAAAAATGTGGTACAGTAAATGCTCCCTAATTCACGCTCAGATTGTACACAAAAGTGGACAATCTGAGAATAGTTACCGATAGTTACCGGTTGTCAACAACTATAAAAACAGTTACAAAATTTTTGTGCGCAATCTGAGCGCCAATTAGGGAGAATTTGTCGTAGAAGACTGCAGATGATGCAGCTAACTAATAACGACGCGCTTAACTAATTTTTAGTTAACCTCCTGCTAGCCAATTTTACAATTACGAAGCCAGTAATTATGGTTGTATCGTATTAGTTGATCGTTCGCGAATCCCTCGTTTAAACGTGAAAAATTGCGAGAGAATGAAACGAAACCCGAATAAAACGATCGCCGTTGCTCGCGAACGAACAATCGGTGTGTAAGACACGCCGTAATTTCAAAACCAGTAGAAATCGTGCGAAATTAACGGAAGGCAGGACCTAGGCCCGACGCGAACGATCGCGAAGCGAAATACAGGCGAGATCAGGCGTGTCCTGTGCACCGTCATCGTATCGGGTTGAATAGTAATAACCGGTTAATGGCTACAGATTGGTGGCCGCCCTACTAATTAATACGTGCACGAGGATCACGGGGATTAGAGGTGGTCAGGCCCCGTCGGCACCGAGCTGGCAGAATTCCGCGACAATTACCGTCGCACGAAGAAGTTCGGCAGCGGCTGTTAAATAAACAACGCGCTGGCCGTGAGTAATTACGGTGGGTAGGCTGCGATCACCGCGAATCGGCTTGATTGCGGAACGGTACACTGTCGGTCAAAAGTATCACCCGAAATCATCGTTTTGCCATCCGATTCCCTTGGAAACGTGCATCCATCGGCGACATTGCGTTTCACGATTTAATCGTTAGAATCCTTTTAGAATGAGTTCCCTTTAGGCGATCACAGTTAAGAAAACTGTCCACGAATTTATGCGAACGATGTGTGAAAGTACGTTCGCAGTGGTGGATTTTTTAATCACCATTTCATTGTTCCATTCCCTTCCACATATCTCTCAGTGGTATTACATTTAATAGTTTAATTATGGAAACTCTTTTAAATGAATATACGTTAAATGATCGCAAAGATATTGTCCATAAAGTTACGCGAATAGTATGCGGAAGTATGTGGACACTGGTAATTTTTTGTACGACCATTTAATCGTCCAATTTCCCTTCAAACACGCATTCGTCAGCGGTGTTGCGTCGAACAGTTTAATTTGGGTGACTTTAAATAAATTCGCAATTTTGGGAAAGTGTCCGCGAACTTTTGTGCAACAGTGTAGCATTCGAGAGACGGGCTATAAGAGAAAGCGAGAGACAAAAGAGAAGAGAGAGAGAGAGAGAGAGAGAGAGAGAGAGAGAGAGAAACGACGACGACGTTTCGGTGCGTCAGGTGGATGGAAAATGGAGGTTGCATTATTAACGAGCCTCTACTCCGGAATTCGGGGATCAGGCAGACAGAGACGGGCGAATAAAGGCACGGCTGTGCCGTAGAATACGAGAAAGTCGTAGGGACGAGTGAGAAAGGTGAATCGTGTGAAACGGAGCAGGAGAGAGACAAAAGAACGAAGCTTCTCTCGTCTGAGAGTGGACGAGTGGAGGCCGTCCTCTTTTCCCGGCAACCCTTCTGCGCACCGCCCCTGGCCAGTCCCGGCTTCAACCCTTTTCCTGCTCGGTACATCGCCACCGGTTTCATCAGCTCGCGATTAATTTTAATCTAAAACTACCCGCAAAGCCTCTGGTCCCGCTTGCACGTTGAGGTCGACCCCCTTTCGCCCCCTCTTCGGAGAGAGTGCCAGATTGGCCCGCAGCTTCCCTGCCCCGGCCACCGCCTGACCCCCGCGACCAAACCCCTCTGGCCTCCGTGCAGGGCTCCGCTGTCTATCTCGTCTGCACGAGGATCAGGGATCCGACCGACGTTTGCCCGGCGAGGAAGGTAAAGCTAACTCGCCGACACGATTAAACCTCGGTAACCCTTCCTGTTGATTTTCTTCAGTGACTGAGATCCACCGTAATTACCGTCGAAAGAAAGAGCAACACCGGCCGCCTGCTAATTGAGAGACGGCTTCTCGGGCCCCGCGCGAGCTCGCATCTCGGTGCTTGTTACGATGCCGAATTCCTCCGATTCCGTCCGAAATAGATCACTCGGGAATTTTCGGAATTTTCGGAAAATTCTCACCGAGCCTGGTGTATTGCGACTGCATCTATGCACTGTACCCGAGAAATTTCAGGCAGCAAGCTACCGAACATTCCTTGGATGGCCAAATGTAATCGCCGATCGAACGAAAGACGTTTATAAAAGACAGCAAAACCTCGATCGGCTTTCAATAAAAAAAAATTGGACCGAGCTAGCTAAGAAAATGCAACAGACCTATAGCTTGCAAACTGTGGAGCGAACTTTAACCCAGGTGAATCGTGAAAGGGTTAAAAGCCCGTGACTCAAAAACCCGTCGCCGATCGTTTCGAGAAACGTTCGCTTGCCGAGCATCGGGCGAAATGAGAATTTTCCGTGCGTTATGCTCGAAGAAGTATCGGTGTTTTAATTGCTGAAGGGGGTGCATGCGGGATGACAGAAAAATGAGAGCGCGAGAACGGGAACGGGATATAGAGGGATGGAGAGAGCGGCATTCCGGCTCGATATCGGCAGGGGGCTCTCAATTTTTCAATATTCCCCGTACACGACTTGGAACGTAACCGGATTACGGTTCGAGAATAGCTTTTTCGGCTCGAGGGACCGCGGGATCGGCGGGATGCCGGCGGTGTTGGTGTTCCCCGGGAGGAGAGCACCCGATTAATATACATATCGCGCTAGCTCCGCGCGGTATTTCAGGCGGTGCCGCCATCCGCGAGCTTCGCCGAGCCGGCAACCCCGTGGGCTTTGAATATCAACCAATTTCCTGCCGATATTTGTGTGACGAGCACTTCACCGGCAACCGCGCGTGAGTGCAATCGCTAATACGTCGCCCGTTCCTCGTCCTTTTTTCCTTCGGATCCGGTCGTGCTCGGTACTCCGCGCCCCCGATCCGTACCTCGTCTACCTTCCCTACGTTTAATCCCGCGCCGCTAACCCACCGTTTAACCCTTTCGCCGGTAAAAGTCGCGCACGTAAACGCCGAAAGACGCCCGGCGTGCTCGAGAAATTTCGACGGAATCGAAGCTGCTGCTCTGACGACTCAGTGAACGGTATCTTCTGGTGGTCCGAGGAGAACAACGCCGGCGAGCTCGTAGACTCCTGAAACGTTTCTCGCGCAGGCAGTGCGCATCGTTCGCAGCGAACCGTAGAGGTGTGACACCAGGTGTTGTATAAACATAGAAACGATCGGGGAAGCTGTCGCATCGGCTGAAAATTCTGTAACACTGTCGCGCGTATCGCCATCGCGATGGGAAGCTCTTCTTCATGCCCAGCTTCCTTTAAAAGATCGTCTAATTCTCGTCGATCCGCGTTTCCAATTTTATCTAGTCGACTGCGGAGTGATTACATAGTTTCTAAACCGAAGAAACGCGTGCAAAGGGTTGATTAAATAATTGATCCGCGTTGCGAAAAATATGTCTCACTGATTCCGACACGTAGTCTTTACTGGCACGTGTTCGCACTTCGAGAGTCCGTGCAACAAAAAGAACGTGAAGGGGTAAATTCAAACTACAGAGTGTCCCAAAAATGTCTCGTAATCCGGAAATGGCGGGTTCCTCGGATCATTTGAAGCAACTTCTTCCTTTACAAAAATGTTCTCCTGTCTCTTATACACATCTAGATGTGTATAAGAGACAGCCTTTAAAAGATCGTCTAATTCCTGTCTCTTATACACATCTAGATGTGTATAAGAGACAGCCTTTAAAAGATCGTCTAATTCCTGTCTCTTATACACATCTAGATGTGTATAAGAGACAGCCTTTAAAAGATCGTCTAATTCCTGTCTCTTATACACATCTAGATGTGTATAAGAGACAGCCTTTAAAAGATCGTCTAATTCCTGTCTCTTATACACATCTAGATGTGTATAAGAGACAGCCTTTAAAAGATCGTCTAATTCCTGTCTCTTATACACATCTAGATGTGTATAAGAGACAGCCTTTAAAAGATCGTCTAATTCCTGTCTCTTATACACATCTAGATGTGTATAAGAGACAGCCTTTAAAAGATCGTCTAATTCCTGTCTCTTATACACATCTAGATGTGTATAAGAGACAGCCTTTAAAAGATCGTCTAATTCCTGTCTCTTATACACATCTAGATGTGTATAAGAGACAGCCTTTAAAAGATCGTCTAATTCCTGTCTCTTATACACATCTAGATGTGTATAAGAGACAGCCTTTAAAAGATCGTCTAATTCCTGTCTCTTATACACATCTAGATGTGTATAAGAGACAGCCTTTAAAAGATCGTCTAATTCCTGTCTCTTATACACATCTAGATGTGTATAAGAGACAGCCTTTAAAAGATCGTCTAATTCCTGTCTCTTATACACATCTAGATGTGTATAAGAGACAGCCTTTAAAAGATCGTCTAATTCCTGTCTCTTATACACATCTAGATGTGTATAAGAGACAGCCTTTAAAAGATCGTCTAATTCCTGTCTCTTATACACATCTAGATGTGTATAAGAGACAGCCTTTAAAAGATCGTCTAATTCCTGTCTCTTATACACATCTAGATGTGTATAAGAGACAGCCTTTAAAAGATCGTCTAATTCCTGTCTCTTATACACATCTAGATGTGTATAAGAGACAGCCTTTAAAAGATCGTCTAATTCCTGTCTCTTATACACATCTAGATGTGTATAAGAGACAGGAGAACATTTTTGTAAAGGAAGAAGTTGCTTCAAATGATCCGAGGAACCCGCCATTTCCGGATTACGAGACATTTTTGGGACACTCTGTATAATACCTGCGAATCCAGTAGACGAGTAAATGAAAAGATGTCGCGATTACCGTAAGAACTAATGTAGAACGGTCAACGGTGTAGAGATAATTCGTTCAAAGAGAGAAAAAACACGCGTGTTCTTGGCAGACAACAACCTGGTGTACCAGCAGCAGCAATATGCGAGCGGAACGAGGACCAGCAGAGGCTCACCGTCGCCCAACAGACCCGCCAGCACGTCCTCGGCAGCCTCGCAGTGGCAGTCGACTGTCCCGGCGTCCACCGAAGCTTTCTTTCCGCGCCAGGAGAACTGGAGCTCCGAGGTGTACGGGAAAAGAAGCGTGACTCCCACGTGGACCGAGCTGGGCGCTCAATTAGACGGCAGGAACTCGTCGTGGGAGAGGCAGGGGAGCTGCTACCAGAAAAAGGGCTCGCCGACCTCATGGAACGCGGACTACAACGGCAAAAGGCCTTCATCGGTCACCGGAGTGTCGCCTTGGACCGAGATGACGGTCGGCTACCAGCAGCAGCGGCGTGGCTCCCTTCAGCTTTGGCAGTTCTTGGTGACGTTGCTGGATGATCCTGCGAATGCGCCTTGCATCGCCTGGACCGGCCGGGGCATGGAGTTCAAGCTGATTGAACCGGAAGAGGTAAAGGGGCAAACTTTCGTAACGTGTCCTAATCGTCTTCAGGATCTCCTTAACGTCTTCGGGTACTTTTTCGCATCGTTAGAATTGTCTTAGTATCTTTAAAATTTTCGTAGCAACTTTGGAGTCTTGCTAACATCCTCTTTAAGATTATCATTTCTAAGACGATTGTTAAGCTTACTTTAGTGTAACGATCATCTTCAGGATCTCATTAGCATCTTTGAATTCTTCTTAGCATCGTTAGAATCGTCTTGGCATCTTTAACACCTTCTTTTAACATCTTTAAAATCTTCGTAGTCACTCAGAGTCTTTCTATCATCCTCTTTTAGATTATCATTTAGAAGACGATTGTTAAGCTTGCTTTAGTGTAACGATCATCTTCAGGATCTCATTAGCATCTTTGGATTCTTCTTAGCATCGTTAGAATTGTCTTGGCATCTTTATCACCTTCTTTTAACATCTTCAAAATCTTCGTAGTAACTTCGAAGTCTTTCTAACTTCCACTTTTAAATTATCATTTCTAAGACGATTGTTAAGCCTGCTTTAATGTAGCAATCATCTTCAAGATCTCATTAGCATCTTTGGATTCTTCTTAGCATCGTTAGAATCGTCTTGGCACCTTTATCGCCTTCTTTTAACATCTCTAAAATCTTCGTAGTCACTCAAAGTCTTTCTAACATCCTCTTTAAGATTATCATTTCTAAGACGATTGTTAAGCCTGCTTTAATGTAGCAATCATCTTCAAGATCTCATTAGCATCTTCAGAATTGTCTTAGCATCTTTAACACCTTTTTATAACATCTTCAAAATCTTCGTGGCCACTTCAGAGTCTTTTTTTAACATCCTCTTTAAGATCATCATTTAAAAGACGATCGCCAATAAGTTTCTCGACCAATGTGCCGATTCTAAAAAGAAAGCTCGATCATTTCCCCCTTAAATCGTGATGATAACGGAGTCGCATCTGCGCTAGGCAAAGCATTAAGATCCGCCGTCGATGTTTCTGTTTAGGTAGCTCGGAGATGGGGTGTCCAAAAGAACCGACCAGCGATGAACTACGATAAGCTGAGCAGGTCGCTGAGGTACTATTACGAGAAAGGGATAATGCAGAAGGTGGCGGGAGAGAGATACGTCTACAAGTTCGTCTGCGATCCGGAAGCGCTGTTCAACATGGCGTACGGCACCGGAGGGTCTTCGAGTCTCCCTAGCGAAGTACAGAACGGTGTACGAAGCCAGTCCATATCCAGCAAGATCTCAACCACGAACGACGTCTCCGACTTGGGGAAACATACCTCCAGTGGCTACGGGGACGCCGTTCTTGCCATGTACTCCAACACTGCTGCAGGTGCGAGACGTATGTTAGCCAATCGCGTTTCCGATCAGTTACTCGGTTGGAAACGCTGGAAACGTTTCTCCATTTCTAGACAAATAAAATTTCGATTCGAAGACCAGCTGAAATCGGACCACTCTTATAAAATGCGCCCCTAAGTTCTCCATTCGAAGACGAATAGGGTGTCCATATAGAAAACTGGTCCAAATTTCTCTCTCTCTCTCTCTCACTTCTATAAATTCTCTTCTGCGAAACGCAATCCCTAATTTCTCCGTTCAAGGACGAGTAGGATATCGATCCAAGATTGGTCCGATTTCGGCAACTCGTACTCGTAAATTTCGATCCGAAGACTAGCTGAAATCGGACAACTCTCATAAAATGCGCCCCTCAGTTCTCCATTCGAAGACGAATAGGGTGTCCATATAGAAAACTGGTTCAAATTCCACTTCTATAAGTTCTCTTTTGCGAAACGCAATCCCTAATTTCTCCGTTCAAGGACGAATAGGGTATCGATCCGAGATTGGTCCGATTTCGACAACTCGTACTCGTAAATTTCGATCTAAAGACTAGCTGAAATCGGACAACTCTCATAAAATGCGCCCCTCAGTTCTCCATTCGAGGACGAATAGGGTATCCATATAGAAAACTGGTCCAAATTCCACTTCTATAAATTCTCTTCTGCGAAACGCAATCCCTAATTTCTCCGTTCCAGGACGAATAGGGTATCGATCCGAGATTGGTCCGGTTTCGGCAACTCGTACTCGGGAAATCCATCCCCTAACCAGAGGAAAGTATGCCAAAAATATGTAGAAATTTAGTAGGTCGCATTTCTGATTCCTTAGTGTACGGATCGTCCAGCCTGCACCATCTGCACCAGTACCTGGGCGGCAACGACGGCTTCAAGACCCCGCCGAACAGGTACCACCCTCATTACTCGCACGAGTACAACGGCGCCCATCATCACCCGCCATCGAGCTACGCAGAGACCTTCCTGAACTACGGTCGCCTGTCCTCCCACGAAACGCCGGCCGAATCGAGGAGCCAAGAGCTGCCGAGGATTCCGTACAACCAGGAAACCGAGGGTATCGGCAGAGAACGGGAGGCGTCATCGATTTTGTACGACGGGGTGCAGAGAACGCAATTGCCGACCGCCCCGGCGATCTCTCAGCCTACCTTGCTAGATGCTACCACCACCAGCTCCAAGATCGAGCAAACCTCGTACGCCTGCCTCGGCGTCGGGAGCTGCGTCTGCTGAATCTCCGTCCGATTTAAAACGGGTCAGACGTTGGCATTGACCATGACGGTTCGAACAGATGAGCAAACGCTTGTCGCAACGGCCGAGGTGTCCTTGAACCATCTTGAGCCGCAGAGATCTTGTTCTAGCTGCGGTCGCAAATCCCGGGACTCGTGCATGGTACTACGCGCAGTTGTTAGAATCGAGAGGGAAGGTTGAATTACTTGGCGCTCGAGGTTGTAGATTGAGAATGTTTAGAGCTTGACGAGACGTAGATCGAGACGTAGATTGTGAAAAGTTCTTGACTGGAGATTTCAAGGTGACCGGTTAAATTCATGTTCGACTTGCGAACACGAGCCGACCAATGTACGATGCACGGGGTCTTGAGTAAAACGCGCGATGCAACGTCGACGAGGCGGCAAGTTATTTAGGGGAAAGATATAATAAATTAGAGGACTCTCCAAGTAGCCTGGAAGCTCGTGCGACTGTAGAAATAAATGCGGATAGTCGCGCCTGTATCGCGCGTTTCTATGGATCATGTAAATAGATATCGACGGCGAGTCGTCAGTCAGTGAGCGAGCGAGTGAGCGAGCGAATAAGCGAGCGAGTGAATGATTGAGCGAGAGAATGAGTGAGAGAGAGAGAGAGAGAGAGAGAGAGAGAGAGAACGAGAGTAGTCCGGATGATCAAATCACTTGTGATCGCCGCGTCCGAGTAGTTCACCGGTGGATCTGTAATTTCTGTAAATATGAAATAAATCTCTATCGAAACAACACGTTGCCGTAATTCTTTCGCCCGTGGTCACTGCCGAATTTATCTCGTTGCGACAACGAACACGAGCGAATCGCTTTCTCTGCGAATGGTCGGCGAGAGAGCGAGGCGGCCGATAGCGAATTAGCATAAGCGATTGCGCGCTTGACCTAGACACGAAGCGCCGTCGGTTTTCTGCACATCGTTCTTGCACCAGCGTATGTAACAGGCAGTGACGTAAGACCAGACCATTGGACTGACTGAGCACGGCTGCGTATTTCGGGCAGTGACACACCGTGGATATGTTTATATCGACCCCTCCTTCTCGCACCAACCGCGTCCGACTCGCGTCCTTCTCGCACGTGGCTGTCTTGCCGCGAATGTCGCCGACTTCTGGATCCGCCACTCTCAGCTGAGCGATCCAACGGCACCGATCTATGATTCGAGAGCGAAGCCCGTTGCAACTTGTTGACAATCGTACATACTGGTCGAATCGGTGGTGAACCAGTGGCAGAGTGATCTTAAACCAGTGATCGCGACGCGTGGGACTCGAACGTGCAAGCAAGTAAGTATGCACCACGGTTTCGCCGCGACAATCTTTTGTTAGCTGCTTCCCGAGCCCGCGCGTAACTCTCTCGCGAGCACTTCGTACCCGTTCCGCCGGATCAAAGGGATGCGACGCAACCTTGTGCAACAGATACACACACACACACACACACATACTCCACTTTAGACCGCCGTCTGGCTTGTATTGATCTCCGTACCCGTAGCTTCTGCAATCCAGAAACCACGTCAACGATAAAAGTGACCGCTGGCGTCACGCTCCCGTTCGCCTCTTCTGTTCGGCCGCGGACGGTCGTCCGCTCTGATCGCGTGATTCACGTGCTCGAAATTCGCACGTGCCCGCGAAACGTTGCGCGGACACTTCGCGACCGATCCGAAGAATCCGGAGCTCCCGGTTCCCAAGGCGCGCTCCGATTTCTTTTTCTAGGAATGGCGAAGACGAAGTCCACCGAGTCCGAGGAGACCTCGATGGGTTTCAAGGACAAGAAGAAGGCTCTGGACACCTTGAAGACGCTGGATGGCAGGGACGTCAGCTACCAGTACCACGTGATCACGAGCTTCGTCAGCCGGGCGAAGAGAACGCTGCAGATTACCCGGGACGAGGAGAAGCTGGCCAATCTGAAGGAGGCCCTGCAGGTCTTCGAGGACTGGCTGAACGATTACAAGGTCAACAACCGCGGCAAAGAGAACCTTGCTTATTTGCCGATCGAGACAGTGGGCGGCTTCAGGATCCTCGCTAGGAAGTACGGCGTTCTGGAGGAAGACTTCTACAAGTACGTTAGAAAGATCTAGACTAAAGGCCTAGAAAGCCCGACGTTCTCTAATCGATGACCGCTCTTTCGATCTTCCAGGGCGTACAAGAAGGAGAAGGGCGACTACAAGAGCATGCGTGGCGTGAGGATCCAAAATGGCGGGCCTACTTGGGACATCGAGAGGAACCGTAGGCTCAAAGAGATCATCGAAAGAATCAAGCAAGGGCATATACAGTGGTACGAAACGGACGTAGGCGATTTCCGTGGGCTGCCTACCAAGGAGCACGTCCAGTGCATCATGCTGGGCTACAGTCCGGACGCGACCAAAGTGAAGAAGCTGATTTCGCAAGTGGAAGAGAAGTTCGACAGCGACGATAGCGACGGCATGGACGTCGACGAGAAAGAGAAGAGCTTGAAGAGAGGTCGCGAGAGTTCGAGCAGCAGCGAGGACGAGGAGGACGAGGAGCCGGAGAGGAAGGTTGCCAAGATGGTCGAGCAGAAGAAGGAGGAGAAGGAGGAAGGTGGTCTCAGCTTCAAGGACAAGGAGAGAGCTTTGCGGAGTATCAAATCGCTGGAGGGCAGGGACGTAGCGTATCAGTATCACGCGATCTCCGGCTTGATGAAGAGGGCGGATCGGGTGATATCGCTCACGAAGGACGAGCAGAAGATCAAGAACATGAAAGAGGCTGTCTCGGTGTTCGAGGACTGGGTCAGGGACTACAACCTGAACGGCCGGGCCAAGGAGAACCTCAACTATTTGTCCTTGGAACTGGTCCGTGCCTTCAAACCGTTGGCTGAGAAATATCAGCTCGAGGACAACGGATTTCTGAAGTGAGCGATCGCTGGGCCAGTTACCATGGATCTGTTAATAATTTGTTGTCGTTTTGCAGGGCCTACGAAGACGCGGATGGCGATTACAAGAAGCTCCGAAATGTTCAGGTCCCGGATTCGGACGCTGTCACATGGGACATAGAAAGGAACAAGAAGCTCCAGAATTTGTTGGAGAACATCAAGGAGACCAGCAGCAAATGGTACCAGGCCGACGGCGATTTAGAGGGTTTGCCTACCGAAGAGCACACCAGGTGTATCATGTGGGCGTTCAGCTATGATACAGCGAAATTGAAGAAACTTCTGCCCGCTCTGGAGGAAAAGTTGAAGTCATAAGCAAGAATATCCTGTGACGGCATTTATTTATATTGAGTAACGCGAGTACGTTACTGTGTTGTACATTACGCAAAGAGGTTTTCGTTAATCTTTTGTTTGAAGAAGCGTCGGAGACGCTGACGGCATGAATAAAAGTGTTATTTTTCCATATACGAAGGACTTTATGTAATCCCGTTGCGTAGGCACTATTATACTTCGTTCGTGCTTACTTTTCAGAAGTTACTTCCGTCAGCAGTAAGATTGTCCGAGACACAGTGTAAGTACGATTTCGCTGGCTGACTGTTCTATTTAGATAGAGGATCGCTAATTTTAGAGAAGTCGCAGAGAAGTCGCTAATTTTAAACGATGTCGGTATTCCGATATGTGCGACACACGTTTGTCTATATATCGTTGCAGCAGATTTTACCGAACAATTCTGTCCCATTGTTTCGTTCTATTTTTGCTCTAATTTTGTCATAATTGTTGTTTTTAGGCATTGTACAAACGAGAGCGACAGCGACGCCAAAACGACAGCGACAGCGACGGACAAACACTGAAGCTCAATTTTGTGGGCGATAGTGGCGCCTCTTTCGGATAAAAATTGAAGCTCAATTTTCAGATCCGTACAGCGCCAATTGTTGCAGCGGCGAAACGCTCAAACTGTTCGCCAAATTCGACCGTTGCCAATTTGGCTAACAGTTTTAACGTTTCGCCGCTGCCACAATTGGAGCTGCACAGACCTCGAACATAGCTTCAATTTTTTCCGAATGAGGCGCCACTATCGCCCACATTTACATAATACAGGCTCGCCTAAAAACATTAATAATGAGAAAATCGGAGCATAAAAAGATAAACCAAGGGTACAGATTTATCCAGGAGAATCTGCTGCGTCGATATCGCGTGAATAAAACAAATGCAACCGTCACAGAATATAATTAATTAACATAACAGCAGGGTCGTTTAATGCAGTTTTAAAAAAGTTATTACATATTTAAAAGGCGTTCGAATGCTTTTTGACAGAGGTAACATAATTATTATTCAACGCTTCAAGCATCAGTTAATTTCTGTTCGCAATGTAGTCATTTGCTATTCATACGCGACATCGAAGCAGTTCGTTTTTACCGAATAATTCAGTAATATTCCTACTCCTCTACGCGTCCGTGCTCAAGCGCAACTGCCACTCGCGGCGCCATTGTCGCAGCTTGCCGCCGGCCCAAGAAGATGGCGCGGCGAGTCAAAGTGTTGCCATTCCTGAATCGATAGTTTTTATTGCCGCTGTGCGGCTCGCGAGGGTGGGTGAGCCTTGGGTCCGGTTTTGAGGTTAGGGTTAGTGACTCGGTGACACTGGAAACGGCGGTTGCGGGTGTCCGTAGTGCGGGTCGCGATCGCACCTCGGGAGAGACGAGGCCGTCTCGCCGTTTTGACGGTCGTCGAAACGAGTCGGACCGGTCCTACCCGGGCAATTAACCACCGGCGAGACCGATCGAAAGTGAGCTGGATCCGGGGAAATACGTACGTTCGCGTGAGAATGGCACGCGCGGCCGATTTGTTTATGCTTTATGTCTCGGCTAAGTCCTCGGGAACAAGGGAACTTGAACGCCGCTTTCGGCCGTCTAAAAATAGCCGCCGCCGCTTCCATCGTGGTTCGTAGACCTCGGCCAGAAGGTTGCAGACCCAGGTCCGGTCCGGGTATGCGGTTCTCGAGATCGATTAACGGGGGATCGCGACGCAACACGTGACATAACGATCCACACACCGTGTCCCATCGGCACACTCGCGGGCCGTGCCTCTTTTGTTCGCGGATACGGAAGAGAGAGATCCGTTTCGAGAGGAGGCCGAGATATGCGGGTGGCCGGTTAGAGTGGTAAACGGGGCTCGTCGACGAGGCCTTACGAGGGTTCGGAACCGAGGGGAGAGATGGACACGAAACGGGCGGCTAGTGCGCGGATGGTTTGTCTTACGATGGAACAGCAAGAGGTGAAGTGAAGATGTCACAGACCGCGGATGCTGAGAGTGAGGCGGGCTCCATCTGCGACGAGGAACGCGTCAGGAAGCTGTTCCAAGCATGCGACGGCGACGGAGACGGTTTTATTGACAGGTGAGCAACCGACACCTATAATTACGGTTTCAACGGGCCGCGAGGAACGCCGTTTCACGCACCCTGTTTCAAAGCTTTCGTGCACGGTGCTCGAACCCGCTGTTGCACAAATGTTGCTACCTCTGTTAACACATTTTTCTATACATAATTGGCAATTCTACACATAATAGGCGCCGAGGATCTTAAACAAAATCTGTCCATTCTTCCGTCAATAATATTTTTCTAGAAGAAACCAGAATTTTAATCATTGCAGCTATAGATGGGTTTATTCATGGATTTATTTAGTAGCATTGTTCGAGTAGATTCAAGGATGTAATAACAGGGTAAAAGCAAGTTTATGTACGGCCAATAAGTTGACAGCCATTTTCATATCATTAGTTTATATCTAGCTGAGAATTAGTCTCTAGAATTAATCTCCAACCGTTTCATTATGTTCGTTTTCCCACCGGTGATCTTTTGATTCCATAATGAAAAATCTGATTAAAAATCAAGAGACCGTATCCGTTCCCAGAAATTGGGACCAATATCCAATATGGCGACGGGTGGGAACGCGGCGCTCAAAGTATATCAACCGATAAAGTCTATATCTCGAGGGCCTTATTCCGATGAAAGAAAATTTGAAAACACTTACGAATCTTTTCACTTCGATTTAACTAAAAATATCATCGCGACTGTTGCCGCAAGCAACAGCAGCAGCAGCAATGGCGCGCCAACGAAGCGCAAAGGGTATTTCGCTGCGAGCATTGCCCATCCGAGTTTCCTCAAAGAGAGCACTGGGAACTTGGTGCGAATTAAATGACGAAATAGTAGGGTAAACGCGAATTAACGTTACGCGAGCAACGGAGTTTCTGACACAGTTCGAAAGCGAAACGAAAAACCGGCTGCCGGTGCGTGCACGCGGAGAAATTCCGATTTCGCCGGGGTGAAAAACAATGGCCGGTTGAGAGTTGCTCAACAAAGTTGCCCGTTGCGTACGTTTTAATTATAACCCCCATTAATTAGCCGGGTCTGGAAGCATATCGCGATGCAGCGAGAGAGTTAACCCGGCGAGCGCGCGCGTTCCTCTTCCTTTCTTCTTCCGTCCTCCTCTCCTCCACCTCCTCCTCCATCGCCCTTCTCTTTTTCCTTATTTTT